TTGCTGCTTCATTATTTCTTTGATAGTCTCACTCAAGGTTAGGTGGGTAGGCCTTAAGAGATGCAAAAAAGCCCTACTTTACATTCACCAAAGCATTTGTTGTTGTTGTTGTTAAATGTTTTATTTTTGTTTTATTTTTTTTATTTTTGGATCTGTTGGGTCTTCCTTGCTGCACGTGGGCTTTCTCTAGTTGTGGTGAGCAGGGGGCTATCCTTTGTTGCAGTGCGCGGGCTTCTTATTGCAGTGGCTTCTCTTGTTGTGGAGCATGGGCTCTAGGTGCGTGGGCTTCAGTAGTTGCAGCACGTAGGCTCAGTAGTTGTGGCTCGAGCTCTAGAGCACAGGCTCAGTAGTTGTGGCGCATGGGCTCAGTTGCTCTGCAGCACGTGGGATCTTCCTGGACCACGGCTCGAACCTGTGTGGCTCGCGAGCTCTAGAGCGCAGGCTCAGTAGTTGTGGCGCACGGGCTTAGTTGCTCCACGGCATGTGGGATCTTCCCGGACCAGGGCTCGAATCCGTGTCCCCTGCATTGGCAGGTGGATTCTTAACCACTGAGTCACCAGGGAAGTCCCTCACCAAAGCATTTTGAAACTAAATCACATCTGTATAATCCTTTATTAGTTAAAGCAGCTGTCATTTCACTGCTCTTCCAAAAGGAAACCCAAAATGGTACTAATGAAAACATGCTCATTCATTTTTTCCCAAATTCACTGTAATCTCTCTCTCTTGCTCTAATTTTGAACTTGTTTTAAAAAGGAAATCACTCTTGGATTTTTATGTGGGAGAGATTCATGTTCTTTGATTTTTTAAAAGTCCTTTTATTATCCAATTACTTCAGAAACTACATGGGATTGTTTTATTGTTATGTTGTGAGTTCTAAATTGCCTCAGATTCTTTAACAAATGAGGCAGGATACGAATGAGTAGAAATGTCACACTTTGAAAGGTAGTATCATACAAATAAATTAATTATCCCCACCCTTTGGTATCGCTGTCTTGTAAGTCTGTATGATCAAGCATAAGTAAAGCTCTTTAATTGTTGCCGTCTTTACAGTGCCTCGTCTCCAAGCCGTTTCCTTTCCTGTCTCTGAGGCCTGCCCTGTTGGAACGGACATGGTCACAGGTCTGTGCTTTGGCAGGAGTTGCTGCAGGTAGCCAGAACTGCCCTGAGGAGCTGAGCTGTGAAGAAATCTGAACTTGCTCAGAATGTTCGTTTTCTCTTCTGAAAATATCACTGGGGATACAGAGGGTCCATGAGAAAAGCAGAAAAGGGACTATGACCAAGAAAAGGGTTGTCGTAATGAGTTTTAAGAAGAGAGATGAGGAAGAATGGATGCATTTTAAAGATTACGGTGAGGGGGAACTTTAAAGGTAACACAGAACACCTGTTGGAGACCTGCATTTTGCTAAGGGATCCTGAGTGATGGTGATTAAGGAGAAACAAGTCCTTTGCTATCTTGGAAACTAATAGGCTTTTTGATATTGTTGATTGACTTAATTTTGAAGATTTTGTTTAACATTTTGAGTTAAGGATTCAAAGGTAGGTAGGTTTCTTCTGAAACTGATGAGGGCCTTTGAGTGGTAGGATACAAATAAAATTTTTAAAAGGTAATTCTAAAAAGGGGATTATCAGGGTATCAGAAGAAGAATCAGGGTATTAAGGTAGGCACATTTCTCAAGGACCAACAGTGGGACTTGTTTTAGTTACCAAGGAGCATCTGAGTTATTGAGTATCCGACTGAGTATCTGACTATTGAGTATCTGATTCATTTTTTCCCATTCCTAACTTAGTAGATCAAGGATAACATTGTAGACATGTACAGTTGACCTTTGAACAACATGGGTTGGAACTTCGCAGGTCCACTTATCTGCTGATCTTTTTCAATAGTAAATACTACAGTACTACACAATCCGCAGTTGCTTGAATCCAGGGATGATGATATAGATGAATCACTGATACAGAAGGCCGACTATAAGTAACACTATTTTCAACTGTGCGTGTGTTAGCACTCCTAACCCTCTCATTGTTCAAGGGTCAGCTGTATAAGATATCCAGGAGAGTTCTTCAGAAATGGAAAAGTTTCTGGTAACATCTGTGCTGGTGATAGTTGTAGGATTTTGGAGATAACCAAGGAAAAAGCAGACATCTCTCCTAGGGCCAGAAAGGCCCAGAAGGTCAAAGGTCACAGGTATTGTACAGGCACTGGATCTTCTAAAAGGTTTGTTGTTTTAAGTATCTGGAATAAGAGGACGGTGGCTTGGCCCATTTTAAGATAACTACATTTGACCTTTGAACAAAGCAGGGGTTAGGGATACTGACCCTCTGTGCAGTTGAAAATCTCTGTATAACTTATAGCTGGCCCACTGTTTACTGTGTTCCTCTGTATCTGTGATTCCACATCAGAGATCTGCAGATTGTGTAGTATTTGCAATTGAAAAAACAAAATCTGTGTCAAAGTGGACCCGCACAGTTCACACCTGTGTTGTTCAACATATGGGGAATTTGATTGAAGGATAGACCTGACTCCTTTGAATTATTTTTGCAGTTTTTCTGTAAGTCTGAAATTTTCTGAATATAAATTAAAAAAAAAAATTGAGCCAGAGTTGCTGGATTAGTCACCAGTGAATCTGAATATTTTAATTAAGTTACACAGTATTTGTGTATGGGGTGCTTCCTGACTTTTGTGGTCACCATTCCTTTTCTGTATTACTAACTTGTGTTAGCAATAATTTTTAATGTCTGGCATAAGAAAGAGAAAGAACACTGCTTAGCTATCAGGAGATGGGTTATTCTCTTAGTGAGACCATGAGAAAATCACTGTGGCTGGGTCCCTTAGCTCTTCATCTATAATTTTTGTGGGGAGCTGGATAAGCTGCCTTCAATAACTAGGTTATAGCAGTTCTGTGATGATGGGCTCCTGATTCCGTGACTCAGGGAGATGTTATGTTATTGTCAGCCACTTGAAGAAGGCCCAAGCCTTCTTACACATGTAAATTGTAAAGATTGAAGAAATCAGAGCTAGAAGACACCTGTTAACCATCTGATCTGCCCTCCATCTGCAGCACCCGCTTGTTTGCAGCACACCCTCTAAGTTGTTTTGACCAGTGCTCTCTTTTCTCGCCAGTCATCATTTTTCCAGAGACTTGACTTGTATTTTTTTTAATACATTTATTTATTTTATTTATTTATTTTTGGCTATGTTGGGTCTTCGCTGCTGCGCTCAGGCTTTCTCTAGTTGCGGCAAGCGGGGGCTACTCTTCGTTGCAGTGCGCGGGCTTCTCATTGCGGTGGCTTCTCTTGTTGCAGAGCACGGGCTCTAGGCGCGTGGACTTCTGTAGTTGTGGCATGCGGGCTCAGTAGTTGTGGCTCGTGAGCTCTAGAGCACAGGCTCAGTAGTTGTGGCACACAGGCTTAGTTGCTCCACGGCATATGGGATCTTCCCGGACCAGGGCTCAAACCCGTGTCCCCTGCATTGTTAGGCGGATTCGTAACCACTGCGCCACCAGGGAAGTCCTTTGACTTGTATTTTTAGTCACCCTTTCTTTTAGTCATTTAGAAAAGGAATGTGACTTTCCTTAACTTTAACATTTTCTAATTCTTTTATATTTAGACTTGACTTTTTTTTTTTTTTTTTTTGGGGGGCGCGGGCCTCTCGGAGCACAGGCTCCGGACGCGCAGGCTCAGCGGCCATGGCTCACGGGCCCAGCCACTCCGAGGCATGTGGGATCTTCCCGGACCGGGGCACAAACCCGTGTCCCCTGCATTGGCAGGCGGACTCTCAACCACTGCGCCACCAGGGAAACCCTAGACTTGACTTTTGAAATGTATAATTTTCTATTATGGCAGAGATTAACAGGCAGGTGGACTGTTTTCCTCTAGAATCACAAGAGGATTTAGTTGATAAGCATTTGAATATCTAGCAATAGTAATTATATTATCAGAAAATGATGGGAATGAAAGTCCATTTTTAGAAAGAAGATTAAGAATTTAAGTTTGTGCGTTAAAAAAAATTTCTAGGTTAGAAAATGTAACAGGAATGTATCTTTGCTCTTACTAAACCTTTAAATATGATACCCTAAAAAAGAAATGAGGTAAAGATATAAAGAAATAGACACTCTGCTCTTCTATTGGTGAGGATGTAAATTAGTTTATTCTTTTTTGGAGCTAATTTAACAATGTCTATTAAAACAAAAAAGATCATGCATGCTAACTTGAGTTCCACTTCTAGGAATTTATCCTGTAAAAATACTCATTGCAGCATTGTTTATAAAAGTGAAAACTTGAATACTGTTCATTGTTAGGAAATTACGTTAATAAATTATGACATCATACAATGGATTCTTATACAGCTATCAGAAATAATGTAGGAAGCTTTTTAAATGTTAGTATAAAGTGCACTATTGCTATTTTTAAAAATTGTGATAAACTATACAAGACAATATTAAACATTTTAACCTTTTGTAAGTGTACAGTTCAGGGGCATTAAATGTGTTCGCAGTGTTGTATAACCATCACCACTTTCTACATCTAAAACTTTTTCTTCATCCTCATCGAAAATGCTATATTTATTAAATAATAACCTTCCCTTTCCCCGTCCCAGGAGATTTAAAAATATTGACATGGAATACTGTCCAAATACATAATTAAGTGATAAAGGAAGATTGCAAAATAGTATAAATACTCTGAGTCCACTGTGGTAAATTATTATTATGTTAAATATAAGTGTAGGAAAATCTGGGAGACTACATATGTTAAACAGTGGGGGATACTATGGCAGATTTTTACTTTTATGTATTTTGGTAATTTTTTGTTTTAAACAATGAATATGTGTAACTTTACTAAGCAGAAGAAAAAGATATAATTTAAGAATTGTACTAAAACATGCTAATTTGGATGCCTCTGATTTTAGGTAACAAATAACAGACTTCCCCGTGTGGTTGCTAAATTTGAGGTTATGTAGAATCTAAATACTTTATTAAAGTAATTCTTTCTTCTTTTCACAGCTAGAGTTGGGAAGACATCACTGATTATGTCTCTGGTCAGTGAAGAATTCCCAGAAGAGGTAAACATTTTTATTTCTTAACTATATTTAAATTTTTTAAAATTTTATCAAAATTGAGTTAAATAGAATATATTTTTGCATGTGGTTTCTTTCTGATAGTTATGACTTTTAGAAGGGCTTGTGGTAGTTTTTACAAGACATCTCTGAAATACAGTATAGGAGAAAGAGTCAAACTAGTTCTGAGTTCACTAAGTAAGGCCTTTGTGTTTCTTACTTTTGATCTTGGCTAGGACATTTGTCATCTCTGTGCCTTAGTTGTCTCATCTGTAAAATGGGAGCTGAAAGGGATGTTAGAGATATCTAAGCTGTATCATCCTCTCTTAATGTTTTTCATAAGCCCAAAATATAGAACAGATGGAGTATTCCTTTAGTTGAAGTAAGGGTAAAAGGTCTGGCTCCCCGCTTGCCTTCCATCTGACACTCCCCAGTCTTTGAGGCATTAGAACCACTAGGATTCTGACACACGTATTTGAAAACCTCAAATATTATCCACCTGCATCATTTTACAAATAAAAAATCTGATTCATTCCACCTTTGCCTGCCTCAAAGGATTGTTACGGATCTCAAATGAGATAAGCTTAGTAATAATAGAGTGCCACCAAAAGTTAGGTGGTTTTGTTATTGCTGGCAATGTATTTATTTATTACATTTTGGAAGTTCCAGTATGGGGGACTGTTGGCTAAGGCCTTATGTAAAGTTAAGATATTGTTATGAGGAATGGGATCAATGCGAAAGGGATGAAAATTATTTCTTTTTATTTTCTTTCTTCACATAGTAGGTATTATTAGTGCCACGGTTTGCATTTATCATTTCTTTACTCTTGTTTAATTAGGAATATCTGTTCAATTTTGCTGTTTAGAGAGGAATTTGATGTATTACGTGGTAGTTATTTCAAAAATTACAACTGCCATGTGACCACTCATTGCTTCGTTTTTTTTTTTTTTAATTTATTTTTATTTTTGGCTGCCTTGGGTCTTTGTTGCTGCGTGCGGGCTTTCTCTAGTTGTGGCGAGCAGCGGCTACTCTTCATTGCGGTTCGCGGGTTTTTCATTGGGTGGCTTCTCTTGTTTCAGAGCATGGGCTCTAGGCGCGCAGGTTTCAGTAGTTGTGGCACTCGGGCTCAGTAGTTGTGGCTCGCGGGCTCTAGAGCGTAGGCTCAGTAGTTGCAGCGCACGGGCTTGGTTGCTCCACGGCATGTGGGATCTTCCCGGATCAGGGCTCAAACCTGTGTCCCTTGCACTGGTAGGTGGATTCTTAACCACTGTGCCACCAGGGAAGTCCCACTCATTGTTTCTTTTGCTTTTCTTTCTCTTAAATAAGATAGTTAAATAAATCATAGCTTAATTTGTAAAATGGAGTGTATTTTCATATGTGGTGGGTGGAATCAGTAACGTTAATTAGGATCACTCAGTTTATAATACCTAAAGGTTTTCTATGATAGTTTAATTTAGTTTAGAATTGTCATTTTATTTTATTTATTTTATTTTTTTATTCTTTTATAAGTTTATTTATTTATTTATTTATTTATATTTTTGGCTCTGTTGAGTCTTCGTTGCTGCGCGCAGGCTTTTCTCTAGTTGAGGCCAATGGGGGCTACTCTTTGTTGCGCTGCGCGGGCTTCTCACAGCGGGGGCTTCTCTTGTTGCGGAGCACGGGCTCTAGGCACGCGGGCTTCAGCAGTTGTGGCACGCAGGCTCAGTAGTTGTGGTTCATGGATTCTAGAGCTCAGGCTCAGTAGATGTGGTGCACGGGCTAAGTTGTTCCATGGCATGTGGGATCTTCCCAGGCCAGGGCTTGAACCCGTGTCCCCTGCATTGGCAGGCGGATTCTTAACCACTGTGCCACCAAGGAAGTCCAGAAGTGTCATTTTAGCATAGTCCTTTTGGGCGTGGATAAGGAGTTTTTCTAAGTAATAAGGTCATTAAGCATAAGGCTTGTGTAGCCAGTTATCTTCTAGAAGAAATGAATTTTGATAATTTATTAATTTATTTGAGGATTATTTTAGATTAACATAGGTCTTCGTTTGCAGAGTATCTTAAGCCTTCAACAAAACAGAATGAAAACTACATTTAAAAAATCTAAGTTTTAAACACCAAATTAATTTAGGAGCTGAAGTATCCTTTATATGTCCTGTGCCCACACAGGTATAAATGCGCATGTTTTTTTTTTAAAAAGTGTTTTATCAGATAGTTTTCATATATATTTGCATCTGTGGTAAAGCATAAAAATAAGCATTTAAAAGTACAACAAGTACTTGTAAAGATAAGTATTGGCAAAAGGGCCTAATATATGGATAAATTTACATAATCTGTTAACAAGTTTGATTGATAATATTCAAAGGTTTTTCCTTTTTTATATTTGTTTGCAAATGAAGGTTCCTCCCCGGGCAGAAGAAATCACCATTCCAGCTGATGTCACCCCTGAGAGAGTTCCAACGCACATTGTAGATTACTCAGGTAGTGAATGTCTTCTTGTAGGTGAAGCTGTAGAGTTAATTTAATAGTCCTTAAAAAGGTACTTAACTGAGCTTTAAAAAATGTTTTAGGAGGGGTGTTCCTTTTCTCTAGCAGTACATGATCATTTACTATTTTTGTCTTACCCCACACCCCATGAAAAGCAGTTCTCTGTCCCTAATTTACCAAGTTGGGTTCTGTAATAACGAAAAAGAAGGAGGGATGGCAAATGACCAGACAAATGATACCCTCCTTGAATTTGTATGTTTGCAGAGAGAAGTTCTGTGTTGATTTTGTTATCAGACATTCAGGCATGCTCTGATGATGTAGAAAGAGTTCTAATTTGAAAAATTTTTGAGTTCTAAATTTGTTTTTTAATTTGTCAGACTTTGTCTTTAAAAAAAAAAGCTAAAACGGTTATCATCTTGCTTACAGTATATGATAATGGAAGCACATCTATATTGCTTTTAGTAATGTAAAGTTTTTCTACACACTACTACTTTACTTCTTAGTCATTAAATTATTTTACTTTGTTCTGGGACTTCTTTTGGAAAGAAAGGGAAGTTGTAACAGGTGTACCACTCTGATGAGAGATGTTGATACTGGGGGAAGCTATATATGAAGGCAGGAGGTATATGGGAAATCTCTGTACCTTCCACTCAGTTTTGCTGTGAACCTAAAACTGCTCTAAAAAAATGAAATCTATTTTTAAAAATGGGTATAACTACATTAGTAATACTTTGTTTTGCTGAGCTGGTATTCCATATATTCCAGAAGTGAAATACTTCGCAGTCTGATACATATGACTGTTGAGCACTTAAAATGTGTCTGGTCTAAATTGAAATGTGCTCTAAGTATAAAATATAAGTGGATTTAGAAGATGAAAAAAGGAATGTACGATATCTCATTAATAATTTTTCTATTGATTACATATTGAAATTTTAATATTTTTGTTATTTTGGGTTAAATTAAAAAGTCATTTTACCTCTTCCTTTTTACTTTGTTTAAGGTGACTACTGGAAAATTAAAAATTTCTTGTATGGCTTGTATCATATTTCTGTTGGACAGCACTGTACTAGAAGCTGAGGGGAGTTGGATGTTTTCTGCTGCAATCAGTCTCATAACTAGCTTTATTTACAGAATTATTCTTTTTCAATATGTGTAGCCACATACTTAGATTCACTTTAGTATTAGAATTGAGGCCTTAACCCGTTGATTACTCAACATTTGAGAAGATATTTAAAATATGGGCAGTTTTTTAGCATAAATTGAAATACCATGTACTCATTTGTATTATTAGTTTGTATGTCAGAAATAACATGCATTTTGGGGGGAAACAGTTAACGTAAAGTGATCTAAATTAATATGTCAATAATTGCTTTGGTCTTCATTTGTTTACTTCTCTATTCTAGCTATATATTGCACCTATCCCCTGCACCTGTGGGATTATAGGCATATCCACCCATTGAGACCCGTTCTAGCCAGAGATATGGGCCAGTGAGGGAATTGTTTTTTTAAATATTTATTTATTTATTTATTTTGGCTGCGCCGGGTCTTAGTTGTGGCACTTGGGATCTTAGTTGTGGCACTTGGGATCTTTTAGTTGAGGCATGAGGGCTTATTAGTTGCGGCACGTGAACTCTTAGTTGGGGCATGCATGCGGGATCTAGTTCCCCAACCAGGGATCTGACCTGGGCGTCCTGCATTGGGAGTGCTGAGTCTTACTCAGTGGACCACCAGGGAAGTCCCCAGGGACTTCTTGACTCATTATCATGCTCCAGTTTTGCTTCTGAGGCCTGGTTAAGATTACTTCTATCTGCTGTCTAGATCTTAAGCTTATATTGCCCAGATTCTTACCTGGCTTTTTGACCCTGTGTGTATAGACTCTTTGGGCTTCTGACTCTCGCTTGGGTTTCTGATCTCTTTTCCCAGTCCCTTCTCAACTCTAGATCAGATGCCGGCCCAGATTTATCACACAATGCCTTCTGCTCTTCCTTCCCTGAGTTATCTTCGTGTAGACTTGTCTCTCAGTGCCAGCCAGCTTCCTTATCATAGTTCAACTCTCCTTTCTCTGGCTTGCCCTTGTCTTTGCCACTTGTCTGGCACTACACCATGTAAATGACATGAGGGGTGAGGGATGTTTTGAGGGATGTTAGATGGGTGTCATATGGATTTTAGCTTGGCCATTTGTTTTTATGAAAGTGTTTAAAATATGAAAAGCAATTTTTGACTTTGTCATTTGTAGAAGCAGAACAGAGTGATGAACAACTTCATCAAGAAATATCACAGGTAAGTTAAAAAAAAATAGGTTTTCTTGTGGGAAAACAGTGATGATTCTGTATCTACCATTTCATTCTCTCACTTACCAAGAGGGCTTTTTCAGTTCTTTATTGTTACTGCTGACTTTGAGAATGTATTTTTGCTGTAAATCCTTTGGAACCTTTTCCTCTTAGAGGCATGCTAAGTGTTTTAGTTTTCCAATTTTGTTCTTTCTTTGGCCCAACTATGTTAGCTAGTTGGTAATTAAATGCTACTTTTGTGTTATTTTAAAATGACATCAATTTGTTAATTTTTCTTGTAGGCTAATGTTATCTGCATAGTTTATGCTGTTAACAACAAGCATTCAATTGATAAGGTATGAATGTATTACATTTTTTCACTATATTTTGTTAAATTTCAGTGGGGGCACTTTTAAAATTGATCCTCAATTTAGAATTTTAGGGGTCAGGGGTAGAGTATTTTTCAAAGAAGATCCTCATCGTGGCTTACTTCTTGTTAATTTTCATTTTAGGTAACAAGTCGATGGATTCCTCTCATAAATGAAAGAACAGACAAAGACAGCAGGTAGTTTTTTTCTCTCAAACTTCATATATTGAAAAATTTCAAACTTAGAGGAAAGTTGCAAGAAATAGTACAATGAACATCTGTAAACTATTCACTTAGATCCACTAGTTAACAGTTTGCCATATGTGCTTTATCTATAGGTCTGTCTCTTTACACACTCACACCTTTTTTGGGAGGAATTATTCGAGGCAGCGCATATATTTGAGAGCAAAGCAGAAAATAGAGCTCTGGTACTATAATGTGCCCTGTCTCTTGAGTTGCCCTTTTGAGGATTGGCAATACCCTAAGTCATTGATTGCTCACCATGTGATAATATGTAAGAGCACAGGACTTGGAGGAAAATGAGTGACCTTGGAAATCTGGCTTGGCCTCTTATGAGCTCTAAAACTTCATTGAGCCTTAGTTTCCTCATCTGTAAGTGGGTAATACTTCTCTTGGCTACATGTGGTTATTTTGAGAATCCAGTGAAATATAATGCATGTATAAGTGCTTTATAAGTTCTCTAAAAATCTTTACAGAGATCTTCATTTAGGAATTCATGCAGGGAGATTTCTTTGAAATTCTTTGGAAGATATGTGTATGATAGGGAAAAAGCAAATTCTCTTTTTTTCTGAGCAGATTGGTGGTCCTAGGTATAAATATTTTGAGTTTTAAATGGAAACAAAACATTCTCGTGGTATTGTTTAATTGAACACGTTATTTGTGAAGCATTTGAGTCTTTTTCAAAAAAATTTTTATTGAGATATAATTGACATAAAATTATGTTGGTTTCAGGTGTATAACATCATGATTCAGTATTTGTATACGTTGTGAAATGGTCACCACAATGAGTCTAGTTACTATCTGTCATCATGCATAGTTAACTTTCAATTTTTTTTTTTTTTTTTTTTTTGTGGTACATGGGCCTCTCACTGTTGTGGCCTCTCCTGTTGTGGAGCACAGGCTCCGGACGCGCAGGCTCAGCGGCCATGGCTCACGGGCCCAGCCACTCCACGGCATGTGGGATCCGACCGGGGCATGACCCTGTGCCCCCTGCATTGGCAGGCGGACTCCCAACCACTGCGCCACCAGGGAAGCCCCCACAGTTAACTTTTAGTATTTACTCTCTTGGCTACTTTCAAGTATGCTCCACAATATTATTGACTGTAGTCACCATGCTGTGCTTTACATCCCTGTGGCTTACTCATCTTATAACTGAAAGTTTGTACCTCTTGACCCCCTTCACCTGTTTCACCGACTCCTACCTCCCACCCACTTCTCTGGCAAGCACCATTCTGTTCTCTGTATCTATGATTTTGGTTTTTTTTAGATTCCACATATAAGTGAAATCATACAGTATTTGTTTTTCTCTGTCTGACTTAACTGTGCTTAGCCTAATTCCCTCAAGGTCCATCCATGTTGTTGAAAATGGCAAGATTCTATTCTTTTTTATTGCTGAATAATATTCCATTGTATATATATTCACCACATCTTCTTTATCTGTTTATCCATTGATGGACACCTCGGTTGTTTGCATATCTTAGCTATTGTAAATAGTGCTGTAAATGAACATGGGAGTACATATATCTTTTCAAATTCGTGTTTTTGTTTTCTTTAGATAAATACCCAGGCATGGAATTGATGGATTGTGTGGTAGTTCTATTTTTAATATTTTGAGGAACCTCCATAGTGATTGCACCAATTTACATTCCTACCAACAGTGCACAGAGGTATATGAGGGTTCCATTTTCTCCACATCCTCACCAACACTTCTTATTTCTTATCTTTTTGATAATAGCCATTCTACCAGGTATGAGGTGATATGTCATTGTAGTTTTGATTTGCATTTCCCTGATGATTAGTGATGTTGAGCATCTTTTCAGGTGCCTGTTGGCCATCTGTATGACATTTTTTGGGAAAGATCTGTATTCAGATCCTCTGCCCATTTTTAAATCAGATGTTTTGGGGTTTTTTTTGCTGTTGAGTTTTATGAGTTCTATGTATAATTTGGATATTAACTTCTTATATATGATTTGCAAATAATTTTCCCCCATTCAGTAGGTTGTCTTTTAATTTTGTAGATGATTTCCTTTGCTGTGTAGAAATAGAAATTTTTAGTTTGATATAGTCTCACTTGTTTATTTTTGCTCTTGTTGCCAGATCCAAAAATTCATCACCAAGACCAATGTCAAGTAACTTATGCCTATATTTTCTTCTTGAAGTTTTATGGTTTCAGGTCTTACATTCAGGTCTTTGACCAAAATTGTCTTACATCCATTTTGAGTTAGTTTTTGTGTATGGTGTAAGATAGTGGTCTAGTTTCATTCTTTTGCATGGGGCTGTCCACTTTTCCCGATACCATTTGTGGAAGAGACCATCCTTTCCCTATTATATATTCCTGCCTCCTTTGTCATAAATTAATTGACCATATTGTTTGGTTTCCATTGATGTATGTATTTGTTTTAATGCGAATACCATACTGTTTTGATTACTATAGCTTTGTTATGTAGTTTGAAATCAGGGCACATGGTGCCTACAGATTTTTTGTTCTTTTTCAAAATTGCTTTGGCTATTCAGGGTCTTTTGTAGTTCCCTCCAATAGGATTATTTGCTGTATTTCTGTGAAAAATGTCATTGGAATTTTGATAAGGATTGCATTGAATCTGTATATTGCTTTGGGTAATATGGGCATTTTCACAATATTAATTCTTCCAGTCCATGAGCACAGAATATTTTTCTGTTTCTTTGTGTCTTCTTCAGTTTCTTTCATCAATAACATACAGTTTTCAGTGTACGAGTCTTTCGCCTCCTTGGTTAAATTTATTCCTAGGTATTTCATTCTTTTTGATGCAATTGTAAATGGGATTGTTTTCCTAATTTCTCTTTCTCATAGTTTGTTGTTAGTGTATAGAAATGCAACCAAATTTTGTGTATTGATTTTGTACCCCACCACTTTACTGAATTTGTCTGTTAGTTCTAACAGTTTTTTGGTGAAGTCTTTAGGGTTTTCTATATATAAAATCATGTCCTCTGCAAATAGTGACAGTTTTAGATGCCTTTTATTTCTTTTTCTTGCCTAATTTTTCTGGCAAGTACTTCCAATATTTTGTTGAAAAAAAGTGGGGAGAGTGGGCATTCTTGTCTTGTTCTTTGAGTCTTTTTAAATGTTAGGAAAACCAGGCTAATATCTATATATTATTCACATCTGGCCCTTTACTTCATTTTTTAGATTTCTTTTTTAGTTGGGCATTTTCATGCCTTGAAACTCTAAAATCTGTTTCTAAACAGATGAACATGGTGACTCACCCTCTCACGTATTTACTTTGTGACTGAGATGGCATTGTATGTGCTACATCTTGCATCTCTGATTGCTTCTCTTTATCATTGTTTTATCATTAGCATTGTTTTAAAGTCACTTTGTAGTGACTTACTGACAAAGCTGAAAGGAGCTCTCTAGAGCTATACTGTCCAAGGCAGTAGCTTCTAGTCAGTTGTGGCAATTTAAGTAAAATGAAATAAAACGAAAAATTCAGTTTCTTGGACACAGCCACATTTCAAGTGCTTGATAGCCACTTGTGGCTAGAGGTTACAGGAATGGACAGTACAGATAAAGATCATTTCTGTCATCACAGAAGGTTGTATTGGACAGGACTGCCTTGGAGGAAACAATGCCTGTATGCTCTTGACACTTGTTTTTCTTGCTGATTACTTGAACTGTTTCCAGGAGGGACTCTTCAGAGGAGTCAGTTTTGCCAGGATCTATCAAGCACTAGCTTGAAAAACTGAATTTTTAAAATGGGCTCTACTACGACAGCTTCCTAAACTGCTCTTTAGAAACTAGCTGGCTAGTCTTGTGGCCCTTTTAGTATGCCATCTGAAAGTGGCTTTCAATATTTGGAGATCTCTAATTGCGTTTTACCCCTCCCTGAATCATGTGAGCATATTTATTTCTCTTGTGGTTGATTTGTTCCAAGGTGATCTATTTCTTTAGTGTATGGACTTCACATTTTCCCAATACCTTCTTTCGTGGGCCTGATACCTTAAGCTTATATTTGTTACACATACGTTCTTACTTAGGACTTCCTTGTACCATTATCACAGTGCTCCTTAGTCAGATGTGCCCATCACTGTCACCTGAAGTACTTTAAAACAATATAGAAGCCTTTGCTCCACCCTTTGAGTTTTAGAATCAGTAGGTTTGGAGTAGGGCTTGGACATGTGTATTTGTTTTTTAAGATCCATAAATTATTCTGAGCCATGTTTGGTTGTAAAGCACCACATTTTTGGAAACCCTTCTGGCTCTATTAACAATCTATATATGGGTTATGAAGTGGGCCAGTCCTTTTACACATAATAACCACACTAGGTGGTTAAATAAATGCTTGCAAGTATTTCTTTTGCAATCTGGAGTTCCAGCAAGATGATTTGCTTTCCCTTTAAGCTCTCTTGTGGGATGTACAAATAATTGTTCTCCACTGGGCTAGTACTCCTTGGTAATGCCCATTCAGATTTCTGATAGGCCTGTCAGATTTAATTTGTTGAAAACAAAATCCTTAATTCCCTGCCTACTCCCCACTGCCCTCCCCACCCAGATTTCTCAGTCTTTTCTGTCTCAGAAGCTCTACGTATTTTGTCCAGCCAAAAAGCCTGTTTACTTTTCTTGATTTCTGTTTTCCTTCAATCTCCATATCTAATCTACCCATTGCTCCTGTTTGTTCTACTTCTAAAATATATCACAAATCTGAATATTTCCTCTTCACCTTCATTGCCCTAATCCAAGATATCACATAAAAAAAACTTTTATTATTGAAAAAAAATCAAACATATACAGAAGTAGAGAGAATAGTATAACGAATCCCTCTGTATCAGTCATCCAGCTTCAGTAATTAACAACTCATGGCCAGTTTTGTTTCATTTATTACCCCTCCCCTTGGGATCATTTTGAACAAATCAAACATCATATTGTACTGTAAATATTTCAGTATGTATCTCTCAAAGATAACAAATGACTGCATTTTAAAATATCATTTGGATCATATCATTCACCTACTTATAACCCTTCTGTGGCTTCCCTTTTTACACTTAAAATAAAACACACACTCTTTACTGCAGCTGTAATTCCTTTTGTGTCTGGCCTTTGCTCCTCTCTCCAACTCCGTTTCATACCTCTTCCCCTTGGACCAGTACTCTTCGGCCACTCTGGCATTTTTCTGTTCTTTGGACTCATGGGAATGTTTTTTCAGTTTGGGGCTTTTGCACATGCTGTCCCTTCTTCCCAGCCAGCTCTTTCTTGGATTTTCACATAACAGATTCCATTTCATCCTTTACTCCTTGGCTCAAATGCCAGCTTGTCAGAGAGATTTTTCCCTGATTACCATGTAGAGTTAGCCCTCTCCCATTACTTTATCCCATATCCCCCTGTTTATTTCCTTCATTGCACTTACAGAATTGGAGGAAAGTGTCTTGTTTGTTTATTTGCTTATTGTCCATTTTCTGATTTTCACTATGAGAGGGAGCAGGGACCTTTTCTGTCTTGTGTCTGTAATGCTTAGAACTGTCCCTGGCTTATAATAGGAACTCAGTAAATATTTGCTGATTACGAACATGCTTTCCAGGGTGCTTGGGCTGACTAAGATAGAGGGTTCATATTGAGGAGATTAAGTAAATCTTATTAGTTAGACTAGGTTACAATGTACATTAAAATATAAATCTACTGTCTTTTGCCTTCCTTATTATTACAATGTGCCCTGTTTATTTCAGGCTGCCTTTGATATTGGTTGGGAACAAATCTGATCTGGTGGAATACAGTAGTATGGAGACCATCCTTCCTATTATGAACCAGTACACAGAAATAGAAACCTGTGTAGAGGTATGCCTTATCATTGGATTTTGAAATTTACAGTTGGTGAATTCTCACTAAATTGAGGTTCAGAATAGGAGGGCGGGAAGATGTGGGGTGGAATAAATTTGTTTGTGAAGTCATGTAAACCAAATAAAACAGAGAACTTGGAGATGGCCTCTGAGCTCTTTGTAGACAGTCATATTGTGATATCCACTAAGAAAAATGCACTTTTTTCAGTTTCTTCAAGGAATGTTGATAGTTTAAAAAATATTTTTAGCTCTCATAATTGCTTTCAGAGTGAAAAATTTTAAACTTTCTTTTCAGTGTTCAGCAAAAAATCTGAAGAACATATCGGAGCTCTTCTATTATGCACAGAAAGCTGTTCTTCATCCTACAGGGCCCCTGTACTGCCCAGAGGAGAAAGAGGTAAACCCTCCATCCCATCAGGCTGTGTTAGTAGGGGCTGGAATGTGTAGGTAGTAACTCCGTTATGAAAACGATTTTTAGTAACTCTGAAGTATTCATCTAAACTGCTAAAATTAAAATTTAGTTTACTATACTGTTATATTTTCTAGGTACTTTTCTTCAAAGACATTCACGTTAAATAGTCAGAATAATATTCCAGATGAAATATTATTTCAGGAAGTGCCATTAAAACAAACAGAAGAATTGGCAATTGTAACAACAAAAAGTCCAAAGACTTAACTAATGGTCTACTTGCTTTGCTACAATTAAATCCACAAATCTGTGGGATGAATTGGGAGATTGGGATTGACATATATCCACTAATATGTATAAAATAGATAACTAATAAGAAAGTGCAGTATAAAAAATAAATAAAATAATATTCAAATAAAAAAAAAATCCACAAACTTAAAAACACATACAAGCAAAAAGCCTGTGTAATTATTTGACATGGGTACAATATGTAATACAATTTGAATACTCCCTTTTGTTCCATAGCTTAGAAACACAGTAGTTCCTTAATGAAATATTTTAAATTTAACAATATTTTACCATAGACTTTTTTTTTTTTTTTTTTTTTGCGGTACGCGGGCCTCTCACTGTTGTGACCTCTCCCGTTCCAACGCGCAGGCTCAGCGGCCATGGCTCACGGGCTTAGTTGCTCCGCGGCATGTGGGATCCTCCCAGACCGGGGCACGAACCCGCGTCCCCTGCGTCGGCAGGTGGACTCTCAACCACTGCGCCACCAGGGAAGCCCTGCCATAGACTTTTAAAATTAATTTTTAAATAGAGATGTAACTCACATACCATAAAGTTCACCCTTTTGAAGTGTTCTCTTCAGTGATTTTTAATGTATTCACAAAATTGTGTGTCTATCCTCACTGTCTGACTCCAGAGCGTTTCAAAAGAAACCTTGTACCCACTAGCAGTCACTCCCATTCCCCCCTCCTTCTTTACCCCAGTTTTTGGCAACCAGTAATCTTTCTGTCTCTATGGACTTGCATATTCTGGACATTTCATATAAATGGAATCATACAATATGTAGTCTTCTGTGTCTGGCTTCTTTTATTTATTTATTTATTTATTTTTGAATTTAATTTTATTTATTTTTTATACAACAGGTTCTTATTAGTCATCCATTTTATACACATCAGTGTGTACATGTCAATCCCAATCTCCCAATTCATCCCACTACCACTCCCACCCCCACTTCCCCCCTTGGTGTCCATACGTTTGTTCTCTACATCTGTGTCTCTACTTTTGCCCTGCAGACCAGTTCATCTGTACCATTTTTCTAGGTTCCACATGTATGCGTTAATATACTATATTTGTTTTTCTCTTTCTGACTTAACATCACTCTGTATGACAGTCTCTAGATCCATCCACATCTCTGCAGATGACCCAATGTCATTCCTTTTTATGGTTGAGTAATATTCCATTGTATATATGTACCACATCTTGTGTACCCATTCGTCTGTCAGTGGGCATTTAGGTTGCTTCCATGACCTGGCTATTCTAAATACTGCTGCAATGAACATTGGGGTCCATGTGTCTTTTTGAATTATGGTTTTCTCTGGGTATATGCCCAGTAGTGGGATTGCTGGGTCCTATGGTAATTCTATTTTTAGTTTTTTAAGGAACCTCCATACTGTTCTCCATAGTAGCTGTATCAATTTACATTCCCACCAACAGTGCAAGAGGGTTCCCTTTTCTCCACACCCTCTCCAGCATTTGTTGTTTGTAGATTTTCTGATGATGCCCATTCTAACTGGTGTGAGGTGATACCTCATAGTAGTTTTGATTTGCATATCTCTAATAATTAGTGATGTTGAGCAGCTTTTCATGTGCTTCTTGGCCATCTGTATGTCTTCTTTGGAGAAATGTCTATTTAGGTCTTCTGCCCATTTTTGGATTGGGTTGTTTGTTTTTTTAATATTGAGCTGCATGAGCTGTTTATATATTTTGGAGATTAATCCTTTGTCAGCTGATTTGTCTGTAAATATTTTCTCCCATTCTGAGGGTTGTCTTTTTGTCTTGTTTGTAGTTTCCTTTGCTGTGCAAAAGCTTTTAAGTTTCATTAGGTCCCACTTGTTTATTTTTGTTTTTATTTCCATTACTCTAGGAGGTGGATCAAAAAAGATCTTGCTGTGATTTATGTCAAAGAGTGTTCTTCCTATGTTTTCCTCTAAGAGTTTTATAGTGTCCAGTCTTACATTTAGGTCTCTAATCCATTTTGAGTTTATTTTTGTATATGGTGTTAGGGAGTGTTCTAATTTCATTCTTTTACATGTAGCTGTCCAGTTTTCCCAGGACCACTTATTGAAGAGACTGTCTCTTCTCCATTGTATATCCTTGCCTCCTTTGTCATAGATTAATTGACCATAGGTGCGTGGCTTTATCTCTGAGCTTTCTATCCTGCTACATTGATCTATATTTCTGTTTTTGTGCCAGTACCCTATTGTCTTGATTACTGTAGCTTTGTAGTATAGTCTGAAGTCCGGGAGTCTGATTCCTCCAGCTCTGTTTTTTTCCCTCAAGACTACTTTGGCTATTCGGGGTCTTTTGTGTCTCCATACAAATTTTAAGATTTTTTGTTCTAGTTCTGTAGAAAATGCCACTGGTAATTTGATAGGTATTGCATTGAATCTGTAGATTGCTTTCGGTGGTATAGTCATTTTCACAGTATTGATTCTTCCAATCCAAGAACATGGTATATCTCTCCATCTGTTTGTGTCATCTTTGATGTCTTTCATCAGTGTCTTATAGTTTTCTGCATACAGGTCTTTTACCTCCTTAGGTAGGTTTATTCCTAGGTATTTTATTCTTTTTGTTGCAATGGTGAATGGGATTGTTTCCTTAATTTCTTTTTCTGATCTTTCGTTGTTAGTGTATAGGAATGCAAGAGATTTCTGTGCATTAATTTTGTATCCTGCAACTATACCAAATTCATTGATTAGCTCTAGTAGTTTTCTGATGGCATCTTTAGGACTCTCTATGTATAGTATCATGTTATCTGAAAACAGTGACAGTTTTTACTTCTTCTTTTCCAATTTGTATTCCTTGTATTTCTTTTTCTTCTCTGATTGCCATGGCTAGGACTTGCGAAACTATGTTGAATAATAGTGGCGAGAGTGGACATCGTCGTTTTGTTCCTGATCTTAGAGGAAATGCTTTCAGTTTTTCACCATTGACAGTGATGTTTGCTATGGGTTTGTCGTATATGGCCTTTATTATGTTGAGGTAGGTTCCCTGTGTGCCCACTTTTTGGAGAGTTTTTATCATAAATGGGTGTTGAATTTTGTCAGAAGCTTTTTCTGCATCTATTGAGATGATCACATGGTTTTTATTCTTCAATTTGTTAATATGGTGTATCACATTGATTGATTTGCGTATATTGAAGAATCCTTGCATCCCTGGGATAGATCCCACTTGATCATGGTGTATGATCCTTTTAATGTGTTGATGGATTCTGTTTGCTAGTATTTTGTTGAGGATTTTTGCATGTATATTTATCAGTGATATTGGTCTGTAATTTTCTTTTGTAGTATCTTTGTCTGGTTTTGGTATCAGGGTGATGGTGGCCTTATAGAATGAGTTTTGGAGTATTCCTTCCTCTGTAATTTTTTGGAAGAGTTTGAGAAGGATGGGTGTTAGCTCTTCGCTACATGTTTGATAGAATTCACCTGTGAAGCCACCTGGTCCTGGACTTTGTTGGAAGATTTTTAATCACAGTTTCAATTTCATTACTTGTGATTGGTCTGTTCATATTTTCTATTTCTTCCTCGTTCAGTCTTGGAAGGTTATACCTTTCTAAGAATTGGTCCATTTCTTCCAGGTTGTCCACTTTATTGGCATAGAGTTGCTTGTAGTAGTCTCCTATGATGCTTTGTATTTCTCTGGTGTCCATTGTGACTTCTCCTTTTTCATTTCTTTCTTTTTTTTTTTTTTTTTTTTGTGGTACACTGGCCTCTCACTGTTGTGGCCTCTCCCATTGTGGAGCACAGGCTCCGGACGCGCAGGCTCAGAGGCCATGGCTCACCGGCCTAGCTGCTCTGCGGCATGTGGGATCTTCCCGGCCCAGGGCACGAACCCATGTCCCCTGCATCGGCAGGCGGACTCTCAACCACTGTGCCACCAGGGAAGGCCCCTCATTTCTAATTTTATTGATTTGAGTCCTCTCCCTCTTTTTCTTGGTGAGGCTGGCTAAAGGTTTACCATTTTGTTTGTCTTCTCAAAGAACCGGCTTTTAGTTTTATTGATCTTTGCTGTTGTTTTCTTTGTTTGTATTTCATTTATTTCTGCTGTGATCTTTATCATTTCTTTCCTTCTATTAACTTGGGGTTTTGTTTGTTCTTCTTTCTCTAGTTCCTTTAGGTGTAAGTTTAGATTGATTATTTGAGATTTTTCTTGTTTCTTGAGGTAGGCTTGTATTGCTATAAACTTCTCTCTTAGAACTGCTTTTGCTGCATCCCATAGGTTTTGGATCATCGTGTTTTCATTGTCATTTGTCTCTAGGTATTTTGTGATTTCCTCTTTGATTTCTTCAGTGATCTCTTGATTGTTTAGTAACGTATTATTTAGCCTCCATGTGTTTGTGTTTTTTACGTTTTATTCCCTGCAATTGATTTCTAATCTCATAGCGTTGTGGTCAGAAAAGATGCTTGATATGATTTCAATTTTCTTAAATTTACTGAGGCTTGATTTGTGACCAAAGATGTGATCTATCCTGGAGAATTTTCTGTGTGCACTTGAAAAGAAAGTGTAATCTGTTGTTTCTGGATGGAATGTCCTATAAATATCAATTAAATCTATCTGGTCTATTGTGTCATTTAAAGCTTGTGTTTCCTTACTAATTTTCTGTCTGGATGATCTGTCCATTTCCTCTTTTACAGCTGTTAGCAGTTGCCTTATGTATTGAGGTGCTCCTATGTTGCGTGCATATATATTTATAATTGTTATAT